TTATATCTGGTTGAACTCAAATGGGTTTTTCTGTCTGTGACTTTTTGACATTGGTCAATACCTTGAAGCCGCCATTGCGGAGGACTTAAGAAAAAACTGTATTTAAATACAAGAACTCCACCTTCTGCCTATAAATTCCCAAAATTACTTCTTATTTTAAAAAAAGGAGGGTGCGGATAGGGCAACCACCACGACCCAAAATTACTATTTAACTACAGAACGAGTTAATAGAAATAATGGGAGAATTCATCCAGAAGCCTATTGTTGAAGAAGTGAAAAATTGTGTATTATTTTCGGTTTTAGCAGATGAAACCACAGACATTTCCGGAAAGGAGCAGCTATAAATATGTATTAGATTTGTTGAAAGAATTATCTACCATCATAATAAACACAATAATCAGGTTGAGTTTTAATCCAACATTTCTGAGAGGCGCGTCTAACTTGTGAGGCAAATATAATGGAGTGAGTATAGTGTATAAAATGCAGTATAAATGCATTGTTCCTCTCCCATTTTAAATTTAAGTTTAAATGCATCTTCGAAGATTCGAGAAATTCAAACTATATTTTCTACAACGTTGAAAATTCATTATTTCGAAATTCTCCAAATGCTACTGCTACTTATGAAGAATATTTCGAGAAGCAAATAATCTTTTAAACGACTACATTCATATTGGGAAATACGATGGGTTGGGAAGAGATAATAGGATCGATGTAAGAGATATGTGGAAAATGGTAAGACTTGATTTTGGATTTATTTCTAATAAATAAGTAATGGATGTTAGATAAAACACTTCTTATTACATACGGCTGTAATGTTAATCGTATATCGACACTTATACACACATTAGTTATTTTCACAATTAATATTGACATATGAAATTATATTCCTGATTTAACTTGTTGCAACTGCATCACATAAATGTAAAATTCGATTTTATATTAGTTGTGGCAGTAACATCTCGCTTACTTCAGACCATAAATCTCGACATTACCTTCAGACTATAAATCTCGACATTGTTAAAGCATCACATAAATATAGTAGTTGATAAGTTAAATGCTGTACGACAAAATATTAAAGAGGAGTTTCACAGTGCAGGTCAAATGTAATGTGTTCGAACTCATTATTTGTCCCATTATTTATCCCAGTTTTCAGAAAGTGAAAAAATAGTTAAAACATTATCAAATGTGAAGTCGTCAAGAAAAAATCATACAAAGTTATTAAAAGATTTTCGAAATTGTAAGCAGGAAGAAGAAACTGAAGTGGATCTGTGGATTACTATGTGGAAAAATAAAAGATCCCCGACCAACTAATCCAATTGATGCAATTGTAGTATGTGTCGAAAAATCTTTTTCTGACGAAAAATCTAATCTAACCACAGCACCAGCTGAAAGACGTTTTTCTAACCTAAGTCAAGTAAAAACTTATCTGAAAAATCAAATTTTCTAAAAATAGAAGACTTAATTTGTAATACAATTTTTTAATATACAATTTATTTAATATATACTGGATACATTAAAAGCAATGAATGTATATATTTTTGTGACCTCAATGAATATATAATAAAATATTGTTTTTAGTTTAAATATATTTTCACGATTAGCATTGTCTTTCCATAGAAATATTATTTATATTTCCTAAAAAAATCCTATATGTAATATAGGTACAAATGATCAATATTAAAATAAAACATTGTTTATATAACTTAATCATATATAAGTTTATTCATATTAAGGAAGGAAAACATTTATTTTCGCATAAAGTGGTCCTACTTGCAAAATTTCGTGACGATTGGTCCATAACTGTGGCCTGTATCGTGTTTATAAATTATAATGCACAGACGGACGGCCGGACGGACACAAATATCTAGGTCGACTCAGCTAGTCTAGATATGATGATCGGTATACTTAAAGGTGGACCAATATTTCGTTACGAACTCTTGGGCTGCACAAAGCTGTAATACCTTGAGAACATAGTTATGTAAGGTATAAATAAAATATCAAATACAAAAATTGTAAAATTTTATGGGAAAATAACAACTCGAAACGCGATTACTGATCTGATGTCATTATTTAATATATATGATAATGTCATCTTGAAAAATTTTATAAAATAGTTTATTTAAAAAAAGGAAAATCTAGATCTGGACCACTTATATATCCTAAGATAATTTGAGATTGATGACATAATTACCACAATCTCGTATTATATTCTTTCAACCGATAAGTATACCATTCTCGAGATAAAACTTTTTTTTTGGCTATAAAAATAGTTAACAATTTTTTCTCAGCCATACAAAATCTAAATACAGTAGTATTTATTTATACGAACATTGTGACAAAATAATTTTATATTTATGATTCCAATAATTCTAGATTTTTATAACTCAATGTTTCGAAAATTTATTATAGATTAGAGTTTACACATATTTTATTAAAATACACAAAAATATAGAGTTTCCTCTTTTATATTCGGAGAAAAGGAATAAGGTCAAATAAAACATAAAAATAAAGTTTGGAATTGTCATATAGAAAAAAATATGACGTTAAAACGTTGAATTTTGATCGTGTGTGTAATATCAATAAATAATATTATAAAATAGGTAATAGGCAAAATATTCAATATGAACGAATTTTTGGATGTAAATGGTTTTATCAAATATGGAAAATAGTAAAGTGACCAAAGTATGCTGGGGACATCTATATAACATCCTACCCTACCGGAATTCAATCCAGCTTAACAAGCGATCTTCCAGTATAAACTTGGCTGTTTTCGCAAGATTTCGTGATCACTGTTAAAGGCAGTTAAAGGGTGTTCTTTTTATCTTCTTTCCTTTATTATTTCAGATATGAAATTGTAGAAAAATGAATTTTAGTGGTTTTTATATAGGGTGTCGCATGTTCGGCTCCGCCATACTGTAGCTTTGCCTATTGTTGTTCAATCTATTTTTGACTGGAATGCTTATCAAACACCTGCATTCTAACCATTTAGTCTCATACGAAATCTGGAATTTTGCTACTGGCGTATCAGCTATAACATGATAAGTGTTTTATTGTACCCTATGCTTATCGATTATTTCCAGGTTTTTGTGAACATGGCAGGGGCATTGTATATTACTAATAAAAAACTTTATTTTTAAGACGACAGTATTAAAAAAGACTTCAACGAGTACGGATCAATATTATTAGAAGAATTAGCAACTAAGTTGATTTAATATGGTACCACCACCACCACCTCCACACGGCTGCCCACCACCACACTGTTGTCCTCCTCCTCCACCGCCGCCTCATCACCACCATCGTCCCGGAATAAAGATTGAAATTATACCACCATGGCGTCGTCGTCATCATCATCATCCACCACCACCTCCTCCTCCAGCTAATCCTGTTGTTGTTGTAATGCCACCGTCACAATATGGACCACCTCCGCCAGGTCCATCCTATTCACAACCGGCTCAGTATTACACTCCTCCAGGGCAGGCACCAGCACATTATCACAATCCGTAAAGCATGATAGTGACTTCTTAATATGGAAGCCTTAATTTCTAGAATTTTATTTTAAGTTTAGTTACTGAATTTTACCTTGAATTTATTTCTATTAAATAAAAACAGTTTTTTATTCATATATAATGACAATAAACTTGTGGTTTTCATTTTGAAGTTAAGTAAGAGTTTAATAAGAGTCAGTTTTACTTTAAAATCTGTTATAAATTTAAATTTGTGGCATATATTTGCGAAAAAAGCTAGAAATATAATAAAAACTCAAAAATGTTGCTGCCCAAATTGGCAATTTTATAGATTATAACAAGTTTCAAAACAAAAATAAAATACTTTTTGTAGCATATGTTAAGGAGTCAATTGATTTAACGGGGAGGTAACATCGCTTTTATCTTGTCGGGCAAATTTATTATAATCTCACATATAGAATTTAATGATAAACAAAAGATAAATACGTTAAAATATAATTGATACATATTGAAATACAACTGCGTCGTATTTTACAAACAATTAGAATGTTAATACGTCATTTCATTATATTTGTTTTGCCTGGAATGCTTATCGCACGTCTGCATTGTTTTCAATCAGTCTCATATCGAACCTGGAAATTTGTTAATGGCTTATCGCATTTAATACGATATGTGTTTTATGGTACATTGTGTTTATCGATTATTTCCATGTTTTTTTTTTGTGACATTTGCGCATTTATTGTTTACCCGTCATAATATTAATTTCTAGAGACTGCAGTTTTACTAAAGACTTCGGCGAGTTCAGATCAGTTTGTTGTTTCAATATGGTAGCTCCACCACCACCTGCTCCTCCACTGCCATCATTTCGCTTGGGAGCTGAATATCAAACTACACCTTCATGGCTACGTCGTCATCATCGTCCATCACCACCTCCCGCTAATCCGTTGCTTTCTGTGACGCCGTATGAATATGCCCCACCACCACCACCCCTACCATCTGCTAATTTCCTACAACCTAAGTATTACGTTCCACCAAAAACTCATCATCTTATCACAATCCTTAGATAAAGATCGTGGTGATTACTAATGATTCTATAATTACTATTTTCTATTAATAAATAAATATTATCTGTAGTGAAAAAATAAACAAAACTGTTTTAATACTGGATCTATGTGAAGGTGAGTAATATGCAGTATGGTGTGACTGGTTCCCAAGACACAGAGTATGGATCCGATTTGAATTTTGTACCAAAATATGGGAAATTAGGGGATTTACAAATATGTAGTTTCGATCCCAAGTGCCTTTTGGCTCCGATTTTTCTGGCACCTCCCTATAGAAATGCCCATCAACGTGATGAATGAATCATGACATTACTGAAATCGGTTATTTAAGATGTATATACAATATAGTCTCCAATGTCCTAGTTGATGTTGTGCGCATTGATAGAATTTCCCTAATATCGTTCTTATGGATTAAGTGTATCATCTTTGAATTGTAACTCTATTTAGAGTCTACGACTACAGGAAGACCAGTGGGTCGATTCACTATCAAATTTAAACAATTCTCAAATCGATAAAATATTATAACGACAAAATAAACAATATTTCAATTCTGTAACAGATTTTAACAACAATTGTTAAAAATATTGTTAATAAACAACACCAAAATATTCGAAGTTAACTTATCGACAAATATTCTTCAATATTGAACATGCCTTGTTTTGTTCAAAATTTTTATGTATTTTGTTTTCAAAATATTCAAAATTAAAAGCTTTTGAAAGTTTATCGACATTTTGTCTACATATTTACAGAATAACCTTTTCGTTACTGCAAACGATTTTATGTGTAGACAAAATTGTCGATTGTCGGATCGTTATAAGTTACTGAATCGACCTACAGGGGGCCTATTCTGTAACTTTTAACAACATTCGATATTGTTTAACTTTCTTTTGTTATTGTAAAAACAACAAAACAAACAAATGCAATTGTTGTAAAGTAAACAACGTCGAATATTGTTAAAAAGTTACAGAATAGGCCTACAGAAGATTTTTAGGCCCTTTCCAACAAGGAAAATGCTTGCCACTAGTTTCCTTGCTCATTCAATGCTATTTGAAAACTCAAATTGTAGAATTAGTTAATTCCCTTGAAATGTGCAGCTTCCCAGATCGATGGACTCTTGCAGTAGACGGATGATATTATTATTGACCGCAACCATCACCTACTTATGGGTCTCCTGTTTTGGTTTGCGTGACGCACTATTTTGTATATTCGATCACTTCATAGCAGAGCTACGCCTCCTACTAACGTTGTTGCTACCATCTTTCTCATTCGTAGAGACCGGTTAGTCCTTTTGAGAATACCGATTTTAAGGAAGATTCCGATGCGGCGCTAATCCTTTGAATATTTTCGTGGCAGACTCCTTTAACTTAGTTCAGCTCAGTTTTCACTTTATATCAGCCGAAGGGAAGCTCCTTTTTCTTTATTGCGGTTTTGGCATTTGTCTGTCCTTACTGATCGATTCACTCTTTCTGGCACCTCCCCACAAAGGCTCAAAATTTGAAAAAATTGTTACTCAAATATAAAACAAATAGTATATCCGATTTGATCCGAACTGTGTTCATCCTAATATTTGTACCAAACCGATATAAAGTCTGAATATGCGATCCATTCCTTTTGGTACCTCTCCCAGAAGTAGTCACAATTTCTGAAAATTTGTTGATCAAATATCGATCAAATGAAATGTCCTATTTGGTTCCTACTGTGCACATCGTAAAGTTTTTATCAAACCTAAATCAATTCCGAAGATGGTCAACTTCTTATTGTACTACCCCTAAATATTTTCTAACTGACGTGGAAAAAAATATCCTAAAGTTAGTAGATTTATTGCAGTGTTGGAACAGACCAATATTTGCAGTCATTTTTCAAATATTGTTGTTGTTTTTATTACCGCCTAAATTTGGTATTTACATTTCATTTTTATGTTGTATGTCCAAAAAGTAAAGTGACCTTTGATTACATGAGTCATAGTAAAACTAAATTCAATAAAAAATTATTACACACTGAATGCAAATCTAAAGGGAATCACAAGAATACAGAAATTACGTGCCGTATACACCAGAACATTTTTATATAAATATTCTTATCTCTAGAGGAAAATGTGAAATTTAGATAAGAAAAAATAACAGAATATTGGATCGAAAGGTTGCCGATGCGTTGTTTATGTCAAAATGCGATGATTCGTTTGTGAATCACCTGTTTAGATATCAGTTGAGTGTTATCAGTTTAGATACGCATTGATGATCGATTATTGACATGCTTACCTAGAACAAAAACAATGGCATTGTTTGTTTGGTACACTGTGGTTAGAGTTGTCAATATTACACAGAATTAAAAATGTAACTGTTTTATTACTAAGTTTTAATTGGAACTAGCGGGACCCGTGGCGCTTCGCTGCCCCTGCAGAAGTTATTAAATTAAAATTTAGATATGATCAATTAGTAAGCATCCTATATACAGCTGCAATATTTACTAAATTTAATTTAAAAATTAGGTAAATCCTCGTATTTTTATATGCTCGCATTAACTCTACAAAAAGTGTGAAATGTCCATGTTGTAGTAGTTGTATAGTAGTTATTAAATATTTCCCTGTCTTCTGTAATGGTGGTATTTTTTGTTTTCTTGAAACACAATTTTTTCGCAAAGTAACAACAATTCAAAAATTATAATGTGATGTGATTTTTCCAGATGATAAAACGATTTTAATTAAAATTCACATTACTCCCTTCAATGTTTTTGTTTATCTTTTTTTTTTTTTTAAATCCAAATAACATTTTGTTTGATTTTGTTCAAAATAAACATGTTTTCACAAACTGACAAAAATGGAAAATTATAATGTCAGCCAATTTTTTAGTAAAATCTGTTTAGTGGTTCACAAACAATATGTTTTCTATTTTCTACGTATACATTTAAATGCAATGAGGTGTGCATTTTCCATTGTCCACGGTCACGTTATTCAGGAATAGTTAGAAGTCGGTATCTGTAACCGTACTTACGATATACACAAATTACATGTTCATAATTTTTGAGGTATGATTACGATCGATGCTATAACACCGCATCCACGGGAAATCTTAGAAGTTTATATAGCATATGTTATTCCCAGGACATGTTATACATAAAAAGTTTATGAGCCGATTTATTTAAGATATTCAAATATGTGCATAGAAAATTAATATTAGTCCAGTGGTATGATTACTGTTGATGCTATAATTCCTCGTCATCGCTGAATTTTCAAAGTTTATCTTGCCTATCTTACTTACATGGGTTGGCTGACTTACTGCGCAAATTTCAGTAAAATCTATTTAGCGGTTTTTGTGTCAACAACTAAACAACAACAACAACGGTTTTTGAGTCTAGAAACAAAACATTTTTTATTTCCTACATGTAGATTATTTAAATGTAACGGAGAGTGCATTTCCACCGATCTTATCTCGCTCATATTTTTATGAATAATGTGTATTCTCTCCTACGATGACAACTACTTAAAGATATTATACGCTGCCAATTTTCGCCCAAAATATGTCCAAGAAGAACTACGAAGAGATGAAATCATAAAGATTCGATATAAAATGTGTGGACATTCTAATATCTTTCAAAATATACTTTGCAACATTTTTGCGGATTTTTCTCAAAATGTTCTTTCATTAAAACCTTTCCACTTCAATTACAGACTACTAACAGAAACTTTAAGTCAAATCGTCCAGCCGTTTCCTTAAAATAATTTTGGCAACATTTTCGCGGACTTTTCTCAAAATGTTCTTTCTTTAAAATCTCTCCACTTCAATTACAGACAACTAACACAAATTTTAAGTCAAATCGGTCCAGCCATTTTTTTAAAATAATTTTTGCACGATTTTCGCGGATTTTTCTTAAAATTTTCTTTCATAAAAACCTTCCCACTGTAATTACCGACAACTGAAAGAAACTTTGAGTTTAATCGGTCCAGCCGTTCTCAATTTATGAGTTAGTATACATTTTTATGGCTCCATTTTTATATATATAAATATACAAAACACACAATCATAATCTTATTCACATTTTATCATTTTTCCTTGAAATTTATATTCAATATATTATATTAACATTATTTTGATTTAATAACTATTTATTAAAACGTAACCACTGTACATAGTAAAAGGCTTGTATTATAATACCACCCAATGTTGTGGCTTTAGACAATGACAAAATTGTTTTTGCATTTGGAAGGTGTTATCGAAATCAAACCAAACGAAACCTCATCAATGTTTTTGTTATGAAATAATAAAACGTATTTTACGATACAGTTTCTTTTGGATACTTTGAGGCAGCAGTACTTCGGAAGTCCTAACCATAAAACAACTTCAGGGACGAAATATATATTTCGTAAATTTCGTTAATCGATATGCCACCACCACCACCCCCATATGGCTATGAAGATCCATATCACCATCGCCATCATCATCACCATCATCGCCCAGGTATCGAAATTGATATTTTTCCCGGTTTCAATCGTCCATACTATCCTCCACCTCCCCCACCGCCTCCTAGAGCTGAGGTAGTTGTCGTAACACCAGCAGCCACATATGCACCTCAACCAGCTCCCGGCCAGTACTACAACAATGGGGCGTACTATAACAATGGATATAATAATGGTTACAATAATGGATACAATAATCCACCATATCCACGTTGGTAATAACTGAAGAGATTATGAAATATGTTACTACGTTCAAAAAATGTTATTATGTTTTAAATGTACCAATTAAAAATAAATAATAATATAACTTGTATTTTGGATCAGACAAGAGAAGTTAAGCCTAGTGATAAAGTTTTCACCGAAGTTCATGTGTTTTCACTGGATGTCTACCGAACCATATTTATGTTTAATAAAAACTTTACGTAAAACGTTAAAATATAATCGGAGTGGAGCTACTAGAAGTAGTGGTAGTGGATACCAATAATGTACATCTTTAAACATGACCTTGTTAAAAAAGTGTCAATTTTTGATGGAAAATTATCCTAATATCTTAAAATATGGGGTAAATTAATAATGGTGAATAAAAAATTTTAAGGGGCTATAGGGGCTGTATCGAAGATAGGACAGAACGTTTCCCACAACTAAAAATTAAAAAAAGGAGCCGATTCGGTCGGAAATGTGACTAAATTACTTTAAAAAACTAATAATCGGTTATATGGAGACCGCTATAAAACTCGTGTCTGTACAAAATTGTAAACACCACACTTTGGACATTAATATATAATTGTTACATTTGTATAAAACACAAATGGGAAATATTACCATTTGTATACCCTTCACCACACTGTGGTACAGGGTATTATGTCTTTGTGCATATGTTTGTAACAGGCAAAAGGAAACGAGATAGACCCATTGTTCACTTTGAGAATATGCATAGAATCACTTTCTGAGTCGATTTATGCATGTCCGTCCGTCTGTCCGTGTTGGTGTTAAATTGTAAACAAAGTACAGGTCGCATTTATAATCCGATTTGAATGAAATTTGGCACAGCTCATTTGTTTGGCCCAATGACAAACCAAATTTAGATATAGCTCCCATATATATTTTCGTCCCATTTAAGGTAAATGGTGCACCAAATACCCTATATATCTGTCGATTTGCACGAAACTTGGTATAACGTACTGTATTGAACCTAGAATGATGTCTGTCAAGCTTCGTGGAAATCGGTCCAGATTCAGATATAGCTCCCATATATAGTTTCGTCCGATTTCATGTAAATGGTGCCCTAAAGTCCCTATATATCTTTCGATTTGCACCAAATATGGCATAACGTACTGAATTGTGCCTAGAGTGATGTCTGCCAAGTTTCGAGAAATAAGTCCAGATTTAGATATAGCTCCCATATATAGTTTCGTCCGATTTCATGTAAATGGTACCCTAAAGTCCCTATATATCTTTCGATTTGCACGAAATTTGGCATAACGTACTGAATTGAGCCTAGAATGATTTCTGCCAAGTTTCGTGAAAATCGGTCAAGATTTAGATATAGCTCCCATATATAGTTTCGACCGATTTCATGTAAATAGTGCACCAAAGTCCCTATATATCTTTCGATTTGCACGAAATTTGGCATAGCGTACTAAATGAAGTCTATAGTGATGTGTGTTAAGTTTCTTGAAAATCGATCCAGTATAGATATAGTTCTCATATATATATATATATATTCGTCCGATTTAATGTAAATGGTGCACCAAAGCCCCTATATATATTTCGATTTGCACAAAATTTGACATAGCGTACTGAATTCAGTCCAAAATGATGTGTGCCAAGTTTCGTGAAAATCGATTGAGATTTAGATATAGCTCCCTTTTATTATAGATTGATTTTAAGTAATTGACGCACCAAGGAACCAAATTCCTCATGTTCCTCACAACGTACAAAATTGAGCATAGAATTACGTAGTTGCGTTTTCTAGAAGTACAGACATAGCCCAACGGATATCCTATTGAGATATATTTGAAGTCGATTACCATACTTTTGTCCCATTATAACAAACGAATGACATGTTTATGGATAGATCTAGGTAGATTCACATTTAGATAAATATCACATATTTTATTTCATCCAATTTCATGTTAATAGTCCTGTTTAATATACCCATTGTGGTGAAGGGTATCATATAGTCGGCCCCGTCCGACTTTACTACTTTCCATACTGGCCTCCATTAAATTTTCAAAAAATCGGCGTTTTTGTACTGAATCAATGATTTTTAATACATATTTTGGGAAAAATGTCTTAACTCCGAATCTGATCGCGATCACTATGACATGGTTGATATATGACATCCTTCGTGAAATATGAATATTTAGATATAGATACGTTTGTCAATTTGATTTAATTCTGTTCAGATAATGCTCTCAAAATCGATCTGCAGGCTGTTCAAATAACGATAGAGATCGCAATAAGTAAGATACAACATTGAAAATTTGCACATATATTAAGGATATATTCCCCAATTTTTTGTATGTTCTACAGTGTTCCAGTGAATGACTTTGAGAGACTTTAAATAAATAAAAATAATATAACCATAAACCATCAAGAAACCCCAAAACGCGGAAATAATTTCAAATACACATTTGAAAATTTTCTTCTTCTTCTTTTGAAATTACACTTTCTTCTTCTTTTTTAAGAAAATAGTATAAAATGTTATATATTAAATAATTAAATATTATATAAGTTTTACATTATTTAAATCCCGTTTACTAAAAATATCGTGCAAAGTTTTGAACAAAAATATAACAAATAACCAAACTTTGTGGTAGGGGAGACTCCGGTAGTTTCAGCATTAGGGCACCTTCGGTCATTGCGTTTTCGATATATAATTCTCGTTGTACATCACTAACTTTGATCCATAGGTATTGAATATCAAAATGAATAACTGTAGCAAAGTTTAAAATCTCTAGCAAATAGCTTATTGTGATGCACGGGTTTTTGTATTTTTACAGATGTAATATCTCCATTCCATATCGAAAGTATTTCGTGTATAAAACTTTTAAATTTTTAACGCAGCATTATTAAAAGGTCGTTAATTGCAATGCATATTCATATAATTACAAATTCAATGTTTTTAAAAGATTAATAGAAAATAATAAAAAAAAACAATAAAAAGTACCTTCGGTGTAGATTCGGCATTTTAAAGTGGTGTACATTCGCCTGATAGCAATGCTAATTACCAGGCTATGCCTATGGATGCCAAATGCCGAATGCTGAAGCTTCCCCGGGTAGGAGCACCTTCGACGAATTTGACTTTTTTGAAAAAACTGTACAACTCATACCAATTTGCGATATGTTTTTGGTACTAGTTTTAAGTATCAGAGAACAATAACCAGTCATAACATTTTTATATCTGTTGAATAATTGCTGAAATATAGAGCTCTAAACAGAAAGTGCCGAAAAATACCCCAGTCTTTCCTATATAATACATGTCAATGTAAAAAAATTAACAATTTAGAAATGATGAAGTCAATTGGGTACATTGTACGGTCATATTAACTAGTTTTCGTAGATAAGAACGTCAATAGAAGACATGTCCAAAACCGTAAGAGAATATATTGGTAAACAAAATGTTCAATTAACGCAGTAGCCATCACAAAGTCCCAACAATTAACCGAAGCATATTTGTGGTACGAATGTATACGAAATTGCATTAAAAACATAAAACTTCAGTATAAATACTATACATATTCGTATGCTGCAAATGTTTTCAAATGTGCAAAAGTTACTTCATTGAAGTTGATTTGAATTTCTTTATTTTTGTTCTTCTTAGAAATTGAAGAAATTGTTGAAATCACGATAGAGATCGCAATACTTCAGATAAGCTCTGAAATTTTGCCCAGACATTGTCAGGACTCCTAAGACATTTGTTCCACGTTTTTGGTGTAGTCCCGATATAACGGTATTTTGTGGATTTTGTCCACGTCTTTCAACGAAATTAGCAGTGATTTGGTATTTTAGGTTCTCACTGCATAGCACATCTTCGTGCCAAAAACGCTAGCCCCCTATTAGGTAATCATCTTTTTCTCGCGACTTTTTCGGTATATTCAAAGTCCTATCACAATATAAGTTTTCTCCCAGCAGCCCCCATTTATTTTGAATATCGTCCTCATGTTGGAGGGTATACAAAATTATTCTGGGCCGGGTTGTATAATAAGTTTGAGTATTTAAAAGTAAAAATTGTAGTTGTGCTTTTTAAGCGACTCTAATGAGATCTTTTTGTTGTGTTATGTATGAAATTTGGTACAATATTAAAAATTTAATCCGGCTACTACGTTGGTGTCTTTTGATGACCCAAATCGTATTTATCATCACCCTATTTTTTACTTGTGGAATATAATTAAAAGTTCTCACTACTTAGTGCATTAATTATTGAGATTTACTGAATTCGTTTAATTTTTATACATTTAATGCTTAGTAGTCTTTCAAGGCCATGTGTGTATACACTTGTTATCTTCAGGACAATTAATTTCTAATTAAAAATCAAGGCGGCCAAGAATGCCTTCCTTACCAAAGTCAATATTTAAAATTGGTAAATCTCGCATGAAGCTAACGGAACATCCGATTTCATACAAACTTGACACATTGTGACATTTTTACCAGACCTAGATCGTAGTCGGAGATGGGGCCTATCTGTCCACTCCTTCTGGTACACTCCCCACATAGTGTCAAAATTTTAAAATTTTAAAATCCCATATCAATCGGTTTGAATTCCGATTTAAAGTGAAGGTTTTAGTTTCGTTATAATAAGATAAGTGATAAGATAATAAGATAAGTGTTTGAATAAAAAAATTTTATTTTATTATGTATTTATTAAAATATTTACATAAGTCGAAGTTTGACTATGACGGACTCATATATATATATATATATATATATAAATTAAATACATTTAAACATATCACTGAATATACACATCGATTTAACACTCCTTATTCTTATCCTACTTGGTTGCGGTTCATTCCCAAGGAATGACTACCAACGTGGTGAATTGTCCCAGTGTTCAACACGCGGTTGTGGTGGATACTGTTGAGAATTTTGTAATATTACAACTTCTGTAGTTACTCTTTGGGGTGGTGGTGGTACATATGGTCTTGACATTGGATTCACTATATCCACTTCGACAATAGGCCGTGGTGGTGGCCTTGCCATGGGATTTACAATATCCACTTCAACAATGGGACGTGGTGGTGGAGGTGGGACATACGGTCTAGACATCGGATTTACTATATCCACTTCAACAAAAGGACGACGCGGTGGAGGTGGGGCGTAGGGCCTCCCCATAGGATTCACTATATCCACTTCAACAATAGGACGATGAGGACTGTGATGATGATGGTGGTGACGGCGTTCTTCTTCCCAATGTGGAGCCATTTTAAAATATTGTTTCTTCCTTTTTAACTTTAACACAAACTACAATCAATTATATTTTTGTTATACCGCTCTTGGTTTTTGAGACTACGAAGTCCCAATGAAAACTGTGGCTTTGTTAAAAAATCTTTCGAATTTAAGTAAATGAATAATTAATCATGTCGCGGTTCTTTTTTTCATTTTATCAATAAAATATTTAATGATTTAATGCTACCAGGCTTAAATGTTTAGTGTAATGTTATCTTGTCAATTATTTTTGGCTACCGTGAGCAATAAATAAAATAGATAAAAATTATATTTTTTTTATCGTGATAGTGGTATTATTATGAATAATATTATCATAAAATTACAATTTTGGTTTTTGCCACACGAACTAAACACAAATCGGAAGAGAGTATTCCATAATAATAACATGTCACTACAATTTCCTAGAAATTTTATAAAAATTTAAATAATCTGAAGGGAGTAAGAATGACTGGGCTACATCTACGTTGGAAATGCTGGGCTTGAAATTAACTGCTAATCAGGAATACACTTTAAATATGAAACCTAACACAGGACATTCTGTACATAATCGGGAATTTCATCTCACTTGGTTAACACTATTGTTACCAAAAGACCCATTTTGACTCATTTCAAATTGGGCAAGTATATAATATAAAAAAATTCTCCATAGACCCCATATTTTCGCAATATTGAATGTTGTGACCTATTTATACGGATGTGATGCAATTTGTGGGTGAGGTACAGAACATGATACAGTTTTAGTAAAAATATTAGGTTTTGTAAATTTTGCAAAGTTTAGGAAATCTGTTTATGGGTCTTACTGTGGTTTATTTATTTATTTTTTTGTGCAAATTTGAGACTCTGCCTGGGAAGCATTTTATAGCGGCTGAATGCTTGATTTTGAATCTCCTGACCAGAATCGAGAACATATGGGGAATCTTGGTTCATCGTGTCTATGCAGAAAACCGCCAATACCAAACTGTATTTAACCTCAACGATGTGATTTCGATGAATAGCGGTCAATCGATGAATTTGATAGACAGGATGAAGTATAGAATTTTTCAACTTATTGAAAATAAGGGAGGACGTATCCGTTATTGATTTAAGTTATTCTATTTTATTTAAGGGGACCCCCCCCCATTCCCGGGGTCAAACATTAAAAGCGTTTTTCTCTTTTACGAATGGCGGGCACGACAACTCAAAAACTAATAACCCAATCGATTTCAAATTTTGCAACGTTTCTCTGGGAGTATATAGCTCTCGTATGAACTAGGATAAAGCCAATCGGTGAAGATCTTCCTTATATTTTAACTTGGTTTTTGGTCAAAAATCGGCGATTTTCCAAAAATATTTTTTCAAAGGTCCGCCATTTTGTTAATTTTAGAGCAAAGTTCATAGCCTAGTTCATACGAGAGCCAGACATGTACTCTTTCTAACACCGTTGGAATTTTCGGATTCCGATGTTCCAGTGAGGAGTTATCATGCCCGCCATCAAAAATAAGGACATTTCGTTAATTACAAACCAGTGAGCGCAGCAGTATAGTCGGACGGGGCCGACCATACGATACCCTACACAACTTCCATGAAAATCTAACTTTCTGTGCTTCTATATTCTGAGATTGGGCAATATTTCGCGATATTTGCACACTTTTGACTGGCTAGTGGTCAGCAAATGTTACTAATAATCAGTACAGCCCCTCTACATACTTGTCCAGATTCCCTTCACCGTGGGTTGTGTGGTGATGTTTGGCTTTACCGAAAAGACAATATAATTGGTATCAACATTTTAGGCGTTGTTCTTGACCATAACTGGAACCTCATGGAACAGATCAACCACTCCTTTTGGATATACTATCAACTTCTCGGGTCTACGTCCTTCAGTGGTAAATATATACGATATAGAATACAAATTTTGTCATTTCTCACACAAAAGTTAGGGTCCATTTGAACCGCTAAATAATGACCGATCTTTATCAAAACAGGCATGATTATTCTTTGGCCAAATCTCCTTCTCCATGTAAAACTTCACGAGGTTTGGGCCATAATTGCGGCCTCTGGAGCGACCAGAAAAACCGACAAAAATTTAGTATTTGGTCCATTTAATCCCCTAAATATTAACCGATTCTTTTCATTGGCCAGAACCCACCCTACATACAAAATTTCGTGAAGATTGGTCCATAACTGTGGCCTGTATCGTGTTTACAAATTATAATGGACAGACGGACGGACGGACACACATGTCTAGATCGACTCATCTAGTCAAGATATGACGATCGGTATACTTAAAAGTGGGTCTAGAACCAATATTTTGCGGCGTTACAAACTTCTGGGGCTGCACAAAGCTATAATACCCTGACAACATAGTTGTGTAGGGTATAAAAACAACAACAAAACAATAACAAAAATTTTTTGTAAATTTAGGACTTTATGGGAGCTATATCTAAATCTGAACCATTTTCCCAATAGAGTTCGTCCTGGGTCAAATAAGTGACATATTCATAATTTCATCCAATTTGGATCATAATTGCGACTTGTACTTTGTTAACAATTTAGCATGTACATACAGACGGACGTACATGCATAAATCGACGTAGAAAGCGATTCTATGCATATTCTCAAAAGGAATCATGTGTCTATCTCGTTTCCTTTTGCCTGGTCCTTTTGAACTGGTCCGCATGTTCTCCTGACCAGAATCGGGAACATATGGGGAATCTTGGTTCATCGTGTCTATGCAGAAAACCGCCAATACCAAACTGTGATTTCGATGAATAGCGGTCAATCGATGAATTTGATAGACAGTATGAAGTATAGAATTTTTGAACTTATTGAAAACAAGTATTTTTAGCTCTAAGAAGTAATTATCGATGAATGGCGGTCAATCGATGAAGACTTGCGAAAAATTTTGAACAACATTGCGATGGATAAAATGTTTGAACTTATTCATAATAAGGTAGGCCCCACCCATTATTTGTAAAAGTTATTTTATTTTATTTAAGTTTTAAAAAATAAATTTATCTAATTTTGTTAAAGTGCGTCTATAGTTATGCAACACCAGTAATTTTGAAAGTGCAGAATTAGGCGAAACCATAACGAGTAAATTAATTATTTTTCTTGAATAATATGTGTTTTTGATCGTTTTATTGTGAACAATAACTTAATGGGTCCATTTTATTTGTCAGCTAACATACCAATTGAATTAAAGGTGCGTCTATAGTTACGCAACGCAGTGTATGTTTATTTTTCAGCAAAATTGTGACCATTTATAGGAGATGTACTGATATTCTCCATATTATATACGTATTAAAATCACACGTTTAAATGAAAATCTGTCTAAAACAAACAAAGTAATTTCTTTATAGTTTTAGAATGGGTTAAGCTTTTTTAATTATTTGTCTATAGCAAATAATCAGCAACCACTTGTGTTTCCTTTGGTATACAGCGACTAAAACAAGAATGATTCCTCATAATTTGATGCAAATATCTCCATTATTGAAATTTTATTCAAAAGAAGGTACATATGTACCCGTTTATTGATCGTATGGTTAATTACGTTTTTACTTGTTATTGTATAAGTAATATACGCATATCGTATATATTAGTACATAGGCTGCACTCTATAATCGATACCGCATTTTTATTGTTCTTACGAAACTATCAGCTATTATTTTTTCCAACGAATTTATTTCGTAATTCTGATTTGCCATTGTATGCACTAGGAAAATACCCCGCAAACAATATATGATACAATGTCCTATCCATTTCATATTGACAGTATCGAAAGGTTGCGATAAGATAGGCGCGATAAGAACAACACTTTGCACTCTATTCGGTGTGATCTTCTTCAGTTGTTCTGCATTTAAATATATACATTAATTTTTATAATTTTATTATCAGTTAGTTGATACCAGCAAAAGTATGTTGTTCATTATTCGTAAAATCGTACGACAAAGAAAAGAAGAACGAGAAGACGCCGCATGGAACATGTCACACGGATATGCTGTTGATGTACACTGCGAATGCAATCACCGTGATGGTCTTTTATCGACAGTTTTCCCGGAGAGACGTGACCGTCCTTGTCGTCGTTGTCGACGATATAGACCTCCAGAAGTTGTGGCCGTTTCTGTACCAGCTGGACCTGCTCAACCAACGCCAATAGCCACTACCCAAACTATAATTTATGAACAGCCACCACCTACCTATGAAACGGTTGTAAGAATGCAATAGTTAGTGTTGCAAGTTGTAAAGCTCGTTTATTGTGATCATCGGCCTGCCAACAGCCCCCAGCCTGCCAGCTAGCCGGTCAATTTTTATACTTTCTTGCAAATGTTATTAACCTCATGTTGCAAAACTGTTGAGCCAGCAAAATGAAAATGCACGAAGAAAATTTAATAAAAGATTTGCTAGAACACGCGAAAATAATTAAAATTAATTTGCCTTTTTATTCATGACCAGTGTTGCCAACGCACACAGACACCCATACACACCGGGTGCAATTAAAACAAATTGCCTGTAATAGATACAGGTTCTGAGGTTTGACAGACCAAGCATACACCCATACAAGCCAAGGGTCGTCCTGGTTTTATTCCAAGCTCAGTCCTAGTTTGCTGCTGGCATTCTATGTGGGAGTGTACTACTACGTATGCAGCTGTCATAACCATGCACACATTAGAACGTTCTGGAAGAGTTGTTATGATATATTAACATGCATATTGAGCGTAGAAGCTAGTGGTGTTACAGTGAGCCAATTTTAATTGTTTTACCTTTCTTTTTTGTTTGCTTGCCTTGTGGTCTGAGAGACTCCACTAACGAAGTTAATTTATCAACAACATTCACATTGATATCCTGACCACATTTATCTTCATAGTAGAGGCTTTGCAGGATAACTATGTAAGTTAAGTCGTAATTTTGAAGCGTTATTTGTAGAAAATGAGCTAAATTCGGTATTATATTTAAATTTGAATTCTTACAAGGTTGATTTTTTAGAATGTTATGAAGAG